GATCCGGGCTGGAGGGCAGCCCGGCGGGTCTCCAGGCCGGCCTGCGGCTCGGAAGCGGCGTCGGAGCGGGCGGCTGAGGGCTTACGTCCGCTCGGGTCCTGGAAACCGGCGAGGATGCGAGCTGCGCAGCCTTCCCCCCCCCGGCAGCCTGTGCCTCCGGTCCAGCGTCCCCACGGGGAACAAGCTTCACCCTGTGGCCGGTGCGAACCTGTCCCGCTTCAACCTGGACACCCGCTGTCCCTCGTCCTCCCACCGCACGCCCCAGTGAAGGGCCTGGCTCCGTCCCGATGATCTCCTCTGCCGAATTCGCTCCAGCCGGTCCGTGTCTGTCTTGTATTGGGGGGTGGGGGGTGTCAAAACTGGAATACCCCGTATCTGGACGTGACCCGACCAGTGCCAAGCAAAGGGGATCATCGCTTCCCCTCGACTGACGGGCTACGCTCCTGCTAACGCAGCCTGGGATACCGCTGGCCTGGGCCAACTAGCTATTTGAGCTGAAAGATAATGTTGTCACAAAATCGAGATACAGTTCCAGTTATAGATCAGTATTCAAATTGGTGATGGAGGGGGAAGGGACAGGGACATTTTGAGAAGGAGCTTCAGAAATTAGTTTTCTAGAGTACCATAAGACTCTTGTTGGACCCCAAGACCATTCTGGTTTTAGCTATATTGTTCATGGTATCCAGTATTTTTAACGCTGATCACAATTACTTTATAATCCATGAAGGCTTGTGCATTTTTCCAAGTGCCATGAAAACATCAACCGAACAGTTCTTGCAAACTTCTTACGCATATGCAATGAAAACTGTTAGCTCTACTGGAAAAAATAGAGAAACAATTTCCTTATGCATCAGCAGAGGCTGCTCTTAGGACTCTAAAACCTTTGAGTAGAATTTTAGATTTTTAGAAAGGTTATCTATGGAAATTAAAAACATTTCACCATAGGGCAAGTAGCTCTTACTATGAAATACATAACTTTTTTAATAATGATGAATAAAAATAAGGAATAAAGAATATGTAATTGAAAAGATTTTTTAGCTCTTTTTCAGTCAACATGTGATCTGCTTTGTTACAGAATGAGTTAGCAAGTTTCAAGGAGTGTGTATTACAGCGATAGTTAATTCTGATTGTTTCGTGAAGTCCAGTTCATTGGTTCAACTCCTCCAGCAATGTCCCGTTTGAAAGTCATGTTAGTCAAAGCCAACTGCAGACGCTGTTAAGCCACGCCAAGTGAGAGATGCAGCTCATATTGCTTATTCAAGGGGAGAGAACACAGAGGACGGACAGAGTTCAATAAGCGACCAGAAGCTCCGATTTCTGTCTGAACTCCTTTTGTCTGGAGAGCAGGTCTCAAGAGACTGTACTACTTCCTGGCTGAATGAAAAAGACGTACCCACTCCAGTACAGAGGCTCTGACTAATTCCTGGTTAGACATTTAATTCCCATTGAAATCAACAAGATATCATTGCTTAATCATTTTGCTGATTAAAATTCTGGATGCTGCAACAAGGAGGACCATGCACATACACTAGGAACAACTTGTCTGTCAACACAGTGTCTTTCCAGTCCATGCAAGTCCAAGAAATGTTAAAGCCTACATGCAATAACATACCAAAATTTTTGCTCTACATGTAAGATGATTCAGTCACATTATAGCTCATTTCTCCTGAATGCCATGTGAAGCAGGACGAAAAAACTTAATAAAATAATTGTAAAATGCTGGGTTTGCCTGTCCTTAAGGCCTGTCACCCTACTGTAGGGCAACAGTAGTCTTATTGCTATTATACAGCTTGATTTCATCCTCTATAATATGAATTGTGATGGTACCCTATGAAAATGACCTCACATTACTTAAAAATAAACTTCAAAATCCTGATGCCGATTTTAAAACCCACTTTACAATTCAGAGCTATTCCCAAACAGATTTTGACTCAACGCATGACAGTGAGAAAGGCATTGCTCCTTTTTAAATTCAAGCAATGTATAGTTTGAAGGTTTTCCTTAATTATAGATAGATTTTTGTCATAATCTCTTATTCAGGCAAGCTGAGAAGTAATACAAGCAACAGCAAGCAATAAACATCTGACTTCCAAAGTTCTGTAAGGTAGATGGTGGCAAATTGCTCATGACAACAAAAGTATTGTCCTTTATTGGTATACTGTTTCTTTTTGACAGAGGAGGTCAGTAAAGCAGGAAAAAATCCCAACAAAGACACTTAGAAATGTCAGTTACCACGCAATGGGGGCATAAATGTGGAGGAAGGGCAGATGGACATGGAGAAAGGCAGGTATTATCCATGGTCCTTAACATCCTTCTATGGTACTTCAGTGCTTTCCAAAAGGAAAAAAAAACCCAAACAACACAAATTACCCCACTTTACCCCACTTCCAGATTCTGAGACCTAAATTTAATGCATGCAATAATTTCGTGAAACACTGATTGTGACTGCAGCCTGTGTTTTTTCACGTTGAAGGCCATATCAGTCTTCTTTTTGAATGACTAGCATGCAGCAGTACATTATCATAAATAATAAATCATTAAAAAATTGAGAAAGTCTATAATTGTTACACCAATATATTACATGTTAAGGCATAAGCAAACTGAATACTTGATAATTTGAGATGTTTAAAAAAGGAGGGGGTTTCTTCCTTATGACCAAGATGAACAGTTCATAGGCACAGTGACTATATTCCACTGTAGCATAAAAGTTGATTGGGGTAGAGCGGGAAGCACAGCAAGGACAAATAACTTACTATTGCGTTTGAGAGGTTTTTAAAACTTCCTGGCTCTGTGGCTGTCAGGCAGCCTAGTATCTCTGCAGCCCACAGAATGCATTTTTAATTTTTAATTTAACTTCGACAGTTTCTACTGCCTTCAAAAGGGCTTTATTCTCTTTGGAAACAGCATTTGCATGCTAGCTGCTATCTGTCTTTATCTTTGATGCACAACTGTAATATCTAATACTGGAACTTCAATACGTATGTAAAATGCATTTGGATTCTCAATAATATAGTTTTTGTGTTTAAGATGAAGGTCTGGGATTCAGGAGATCTGACGTAGAACTTTGCTAACACACTTCTGTCTGGCCCCTATCACTAACACAATCTTGCAAAAAATTCTAGATAAATTAGGAGACTGTGCCTAATTTTTAAAGTGTAGCTTAATCACATGAAAGGCAGTGTGCAAGTGACTTTAGATGAAAGACAGGCTTCTTATTCTTTTTGATACTTTGGTTTTGTTCCACTCATTATTGTCCAGATGTTCAGTGAAATATTGGCCTAATTATTTGAAAGGCTCAGCTTAGCCTAGACCTACAGATCCAGGTTTAGATCCTTTTTATAAGTGATTTTGGGTCTTGCTGTAATGGAAGTTAAGCATTTAACTGCCTAGTGAAATTTTCAAAAGTGCTAACTGTCCAACTTTGGCAGTAAGTACATAAATTTTACAGCCTGGCCCTAGGGACATTTGAAAAAATTATCTTTCATTTCTCTACACCTCATTTCTCAGTTTATAAAATGAACATACTATTCCCTTTCCTCTCTAGCCTTCCTCAGATTATAAACTCTCACCAGGCAGAAACTGCCTATTCCTGTATCGCACATCACAATGGGACATAGTCTCACCCGATGCTTATTATTTGTATCAGAGTAGTGTTTATATTAGCTAGGTTATACTAGTTTATTTAATCCATTTGCTTCTAAGAAAATGCTACTTGGTCTGCCATTTACAACTCCCAGAAGTTAAAAAAAATAATATTAATTTGAGTAATGCATCACTTCATCAAAAAAGACCAATTTCACTTGTATCATAACAAGTCTAGCAAAACTATAGAGCTTTTCACCAGCAGTGAAGCCTGAAATGATGAACTTCGTTCAGTATCCTTCTTAACATATTTGCTGAAGTAATCAGATATGAACACACTCTTTACTTAATCTTTAATATCAAGTCTACTTCTGACAGCATAAGAGTCTCCTGGCTACTGATTAAAGATGTGCCACAAAACTGAACTCCAAAATTTGTAAGCATGTTTCAAGAAACTTGGTATCTGGCAAGTGTTAGTATCAAGAAACTTAGGGGGGAAGAGAGCCAATTAACCAGTTACAGGAAAAGAAATATGAAACTTGGGTTTGCCTACAGAAGTTAAAAGTCACAGCATCCAGGGATATTGCAGCATGAGGATTTTGTTCAACGTACTTTAGATGTTCTTATTATTCCTATCTATAGCTTTTATGGATAAAGTACAGATAGAATATTAGAAGAAACCAATCATTAAGAGATTCAATCATTTGAAATGATTGAAATTATTGAAATCTTTCAATAATTTCTTTCCATATCCTAGGCTGTTCTATGATAACCATAAATGAAAAATGTATTCCCTTTTAAGTCAACAGGATTTTTGCCATTGATCTCAATAAATTCAGAATTTCTCTAGATCATCTAAATGATACATTACTTTTCTGACAATTGTTAATTAGGATGATCTTCCTTCTAGGAGAAGGAAAACAGAACTTACTGTAGAGGTACTCACTGTAAAAAGTTAACATTGTCAGAGAGATTCACTGCAGGAACTTTCAAAGAACATCAGATACCTGAAAGAGAATTTACTGCCTCCAGCATTCTCATATGCTGCTGATGACTAAAGGACAGGAATAAGAGACTTTTCCAGGAATACACACAAGCTGCCTATCACCCTGATACTAATCATCAACCAGTAAAACAGCCACTGCAGGACCTATTATGTTCCTGGTACTCTACAGATATTTAGCCCAAAATGCCAGGCTTAGAAATACCTTCCAGAAGTGAAATAGGTTTGTTGCATGGAACAAACCCTGAGACCTTCACCTTCCTTACTCAATTCTTATTAATGCATATCTCCCTCAAGTTTGAAGAATTTTGCCCAATTCCAAGTGCAATACAAACCCCAGAATTTGGCTAGAGATATGCAAAATACATGTCAATATATTTGAAAGTCTGCATATATATATGTCCTGGTTTCAGCTGGGATGTAGTTAACTGTCTTCCTAGTAGCTGGTACAGTGCTATGTTTTGAGTTCAGTATGTGAAGAATGTTGATAACACTGATGTTTTCAGTTGTTGCTCAGTAGTGTTTAGTCTAAAGTCAAGGATTTTTCAGCTTCTCATGCCCAGCCAGCGAGAAAGCTGTAGGGGCACAAGAAGTTAGC